TACAGGTAAATCAAATAGATGAGCCACTAAAAAACCAAAATGCATGGAGCATTTATTTGCAAAACATTCCCTAAAGAAAGGGAAAACGAAGTCTTTGCCCTGCCCTAACTCCTATCGCTAAAGTCTGCGCTGAGTGACAGCCGTACATTCTTTATCCAACATACAAGCTGACCCCCTTCTGTCCCCAGCAATCAATAATGACCCATCATTCCGCTTCTAAATTTTTCTTAGGTTCATCCCTCTTCATCCTCACTTCTGCTGCCTTAAGTACTAGATTAAATTAAACTACTTCCATAGGCTAAACTACTTTATTAGGCTAAACTACTTCCTTACATGAGTCCCGTGGTGTCCCCAGAAGACTGGTTCCAAGAACACCCCACATCCTCGATATTAAATCTGCAGCTGCTCAAGTCCCTTACACATAATACTGTAATTTTTGCCAGTGACCCACACATAACCTCCCATATATTTAAAATCATATCTGAATTATTTACAATGCCTAATACCAGTGTAAATGCTGTGTAAACCATTGTTCTCCTGTATGGTTTCAGGAGTAATGACACAGCACACAGTTTGCATGTGTTTGACATACATGCTTTTCTCCCGGATATTTTTGATCCACGGTTGCTTGTCCATGCTGAGGGCCAAGGGCGCAGAGTTCCTGGCAGGTCTCCTTGACTCTGTCTTTTTGAAGCCGGTTTCCTGCAGTTATTTTTCTAAGCGCAAAGGTGGTGGTGTCATTCCCCCTCTTGCAGGCCTCTGAGTAGCTTTTCCTCATCTCGCCCTATGACATGGGAGGCCCTCTACCAGCTGGCTCCTTCTCTAACCCTGTCTTCATCGGAATTGCAGTCACTTGGGACTTCTCAGTCTCTGTCAGAACGACCACGCTTTTTCTCACTTCTCCGTGGATGTGTGTGCATGTTCACATCTCCACTTCCCTCTTGCTTGACAAGCAGGGTCTGTCTGTCAGACAGTGTGCAGCCTTCCACTGTTCTACCCTGGTGTTCCTTACGTACATTTTATCGTGCAGATCACCAAGTGTTATGAATATTTGTCTATTCAATTGTTGTCTCCACTACTGTGCCTCACTATGGAAAAATAAAAGCAGTCTTCACTATGACAAGTTTGAGCTGCCTGACTCATGCTTGTTTTCAAGTATATAATCCAGGCACTGATACATAATAGGCCCTCAAACAGGACTGACAAAGGGACAGCAGTGGCTCAGAGGAGTAGAATAAAGTCTAGATCACAATTTGAAACCTTTCATGTGCATTTAAATTTTAATAAAGCAGTGTGCTTTATTACAGTAGCAATGCTAGCTAGTAAGTAGGCATTTTATTCCATAGCACCTTGAAGATTATTGTATTTTGCCTGTTGCTTTGGTATATATCTTTGTTTTTTTTGTTGGGGGGGTTTTGGGGGTTTTTCCCCCATTATGTTTATTGGTACATTTCAAGCAAACAATACATTTATCATTGGGATCTTGTACCTTTATAAGATACGTCTTGGTTCTTATTCTTTTCCCATACCCCTGCCCTCTCTTCACCCTCCTCATCCTTAGGGCTATATCTGTGGACTGCTGTGTTGGGGATGACTCACGTACCGTATACAGCTCCGTGTTTTTTGGCAGACTTGCATAGTCGTGCAGCCATCACCACGATGTAACCCTGAAACATCTTCCTCACCCCAACAGGGACTCTGAATCCATGAGCACTCATTCCCATGCCCCGCCCTGCCCGGTAACCCCACTCGACTTTATGGATTTGCCTCTTTTGGAAACTCATGCCAATAGAACCATGCACTATGCGATCTTTTCTCCTGGCATCTTGGAAGGCTCGTCCTTTTTGACCTGTATCAGCACTCCATTTTTATACTGAGTAATGTACCATTACATGGACAGACCACATTTTGTCCACCCTGTGGATGTTCACATCAGCGGTTGCACACTTGCGTTGCTACCACTGTGGGGCTTTCATGAATAGCGCAGCTGTGACTGCTTGTGTAAGGTTTTCTCAGTGCACTTGTTTTCATTTTCAGGCATATGGGTAAGGACTGCTGGGTCTGGTGGAAAGTCTATGTTTAACATTTACAAAAACCACACACTGTTTTCTCAAGAGGCGGCACCGTTGTGCAGTCCAAGTGATACAGGAGGGTTGCAATATTTCTGCCTGCTTTGCAACACTTGTTACGGTTAGGGTTGCTTTCCCAGTTAATCTTACAGTATTGGGGGTTTTTATGGCTTTCAAATGTCTTCCGAAAGTTTCTCCACTAACCCCGAGTTTATCCAATGTCATCAAGTCTATAGGGAAGTTAAAGATGTTGATATACCTGGATATGTCGAAAAACAGAATAGAAACGGTCGACATGGGCATTTCTGGATGCGAAGCTCTTGAGGATCTGCTCCTGTCGTCCAACATGTTGCAGCAGTTGCCTGACTCTATAGGTGAGAACATAATGTTCTGTCATGAATGTTTATGCCAAGCGTGCCCCTTTCTTTCTGGGTGGTATAGTTTGTTTATAGATGCAAGTAATATTCTCTTTGCCTGATACAAATAAAATAGTGCACACACTACAATGGCATAAAATAGTTCTTTACAAATCCTTTTAAATGAAATGTTCACTCTAGTTCAAGAAGGCTCTCATTTTAAAATGGTTCTAGTAAATCAATGTTTTAAAAACTGTTATGTCGCCTATAGTATAATATGTTGTTATAATCATTATATGACTTAGAGTAACTTGAAAATAATATGTTTATCTGCACAGGATGTGGCTGTATTTTATTTTTAATGTCTTTATAACATTGTTATAATATAGGAATGACATAAAAATGTACAAATATAGAACGTCTTACCAGTTCTATTATTTTTAAAAAGGACAAGTTAGATGCTTGAAGGTGCGTAACTTGTAAATATGCATTAAGCACTCCACAGTTTTGGTTAGTAAATGTATGTGTGAGTAAAATTATAAAATACAAATTTAATACAAATTTCATATGTATATCTTGCTAATATTATTTAGGAGGGGACCCAGTTAGAAGGGTGATCATCAAATTATTAAACTTTGGAATCAGATTTTACCCTTTTCAAAATGGCTCCATTATGTGCACTGGAACTTGAAGCTTCTGAAAATTAAATCACAGCCTCGGTAACCTGGGAGAAAGGAAACTTGAAGATAAGGCAGTTTGCCAAATTTTTATTCAGCATTTTATTACCACTTCCATTTTTGGCATTCTTTGAGACCTGCAGAGAACATTAGTTTTATCAAAAATCATAGTCTACCTTTTCTTTCTTTCTAGATTAGCAGACTTTTTGACTTACATAATCACATCTTTGAAAACGTGTTCAGTTATAGGATTTGACTAAGAGCTTTATCCAACATTTATCTTCATTTCCAGGCTCTGACTGTAGAAATTCTGACTTAGTAAGTCTGCAGTGAGCCCTTCTATGTGTATTTGCATTAAATGTCCTAGATGAAACTTGCACACAGACAAGTCTGGGAAATATAGCTTTCCATTGTCAAGGAGCCACAGTGATGAGGAAGATCATTCTCTAGTCAACATGACAGGGTGACTAAATTCATAAACTTACACCTGCTCCACCAGAAATCCATGCCACTTCCGTTAGAGAGAAAACTACATGTATTCAGAGAACATAGTTTTCTTAACTGATGTCACCTCCGTGCCAAGAACCACTGCCATGGATGTGGTGGGAGGAGGGAGAAAGGGATGAGCAGAAGCATTCATATAATAGAACGAAAGATAAGACTTGAAAAATGGCAGAAAAAATTTAAAAACATGACTAAATCATTTGCCATAGATCCCAACAAATATAATAAATATGATGAATTAAACTTATTTCGTTTGAAAGAATCAGTATTTCAGGCGGAATATTGTTTTAAGTCCAACTATGTTCTGGTTGTGAGGCGCACACAAAACAAAGCTCAGAAAGTCTGGTCTTTAGAAGTGTGGCAGGAAGTGAAGCATTACGACCATGACGTAATGGTTCATTTAAAACATCTTCCTAAAGCAGACTAAGAAATTAACCTTGTGGCCTGAGAAAGGCAGCATGGGTTAGGACTGCAGAACATCGGGCAGGATGCCTGACTGCCGTAAGACGTGAAAACAGGCCAGTGGTGCTGTATACCTGACACCTTTGTCATGGGACGTCTCGCGGATGAGGACGGCCGCTCTGTTACAGAAGCTTACTTCTCCAACTTACCTCCTACCTGCGGCTTCGGTGGAAGTTGTATTTGGCCACCTGCAGCATTGCCATGGTACAGGATTAGAGATTCACAGTGACTGACTCCTCAGGGAGCGGAGAGATGTCTGGACTAGGGCACTGAAGGCTCGGTTCTGTGGCCCCCGAGTGCTCAGCGGACGGCAGGTTGCCTCTTGTCTTGCTTCTTTGAGCTCCGATTGTCTGTTGACCGACGGACGGAATTTAAGAACAGCGCGAATCAGTACCGCTGGACAGTGTTAGGGAAAGGAAATAGCCGCTGAACTAAGATCTTCCCTTCCATCGCGGCTGCTCGGGTCCTCTGTGGTTTGGGGGGCCGGTGAATGGGGCTGCAGACTGGACAAGAGGCCCCTGAATACCTATGGCCTTTTCTCCAGCTGGCTGCTGGGGAAAATGAAAAGCAGTTTTTTCTTCTTCTAGGTAGTTTTAATAATCAGCTTCTTTTGGATAACAGAGAAGCTCAGTATAAGACAGTGTGACTTTTTTCAAAATAATTCATCTTACTGAGTGACTAAGGGCACACAGATTGCCTGAGTTTTTCTCTGTTGTTAGTTGCCTGACCTTAGACAACTTACTTAACCTCTTAGTTCCATCATCTCATAAGTGGAGGCAGTAATAGTACCTGCATCAGAGTATATGACTTTCAGGAATAAATTAATTCAGGTATGTAAGATTGCTTAGAACAGTCCCTGCCTGTATACTGTTAACTGTTCTGTTGCATAACAATTAACCATAATCGTAGATTTAACGAGAGCACATCTGTTTGCTTCAAAGTTCTATTGATATGTGTAAATGCGACTGAAATATTAGCTACTTTGATAGCATGTTAATATTTAATGCATCAAAGCTAATTATGTATTTGTATAAAAATAGCTAAATCACAGTCATAGCAATAGACCTCCTCTTTTTCTTTAGTACTTCTTAGTTAGGAGCTTAGGATAAAAGGGTAAAAACCTGGGGAAGCAGAGAGGCGGAGTAGGGTGAGAGACCTTGGATTCTTGCGGAGGAGGAGAGGATCCGGGCAGCTGTGACACCGCACTGCACTGAAGGGATCGTCTGCCACAGGAAGCCACGAGCAGTGTGGGTGACGCTGGGGTCTCATCCGACAGTCAGATTCCAACGGAAGCCTCAGAGCCTTTCCACCCCTCGAGGACCTGGAGTGGCACATCTGTCACTTCCTCACTGAGGTTCCTGTAGCAGGCAGGGTGGCCTCTCTCACTTCAGCTGTTATGCCTCTGGGCAGAGCCACTGCCCCAGTCTTCAGAAACAGCTGTCGCCTTAGTCCCCCTCCTGCCTCACAGTTTCATCAAGGAGAGGCAGGGACCACGAGATCTTCTTACAGACTGCGTGGTGACTGGTTTCCTGGTGTCTGCCCAGCCACCTGGAACCCAGTCTGTATCCTCCGGGACCCAATCGAGGGATACAGAGGTGGCCGGATTCTCCAGACCCATGAGTACGCAGCAGCTGTGGTCTCTCTGGTCGGCGGTCGTAACAAAATGTGGCTGTCAGTCATAGCCGCGTTTTCTTGCCACGACTGATAAACAAGCTCAGGTGTTCTTTTCCATTTCCAAAGTGGGTATTGAAGCGTACACACGAGAGCCGAGATGACTCAGATGCCTTCCGAGCGTAGATGAATGCGGCAGTGGGTGTTCAGTCTGCAGGGATGAATTGCCGCCGCGTGAATTGTCCTCATCCCCAGGTGTTGTGGTTTTCGGCTGAGGTGTTAAGCTCCGAATGTTGTAGGTATTTTCTCACAGCAGTCTGATAGGCACCACATTTCTTTCCACTGGAGTAGAGATTCTGAAAGCTTCTGAAGAAAATGTAAATGAGTATGCTGAAATGTGGAGCACAGCGACAGCTTTATGTCAGAGATTCTGCGGCTCAATCTTGCCTTTAAAGTTTTCTCAAAATGCTCAGTATGGGGTGGGTGTGGCCTCAGAGCCCGTTCCCCTTAGTGCCAGCTTTTAAAGATACTCTGCAGCTGCAGACACACACACACACACACACACACACACACACACACACACACTCACACAAACACACACTTTCACAATAACTGGATAGTCACATTGTTCCATCAGTACATTAAAAAATTCTGGAGAAACTTCATTAAAGAAAGCTATACAGTTTTGTTTAATCTGACATTTCTCAAAACATATTTGACCATGGAATTATTTTCAAAAAATGTATTTTTTTGCAGGACACAATAATCTACAGCATGTAAGTGTAGTTCCAATAGAAAGCAAAACCTAACCTAATGTTAATGCTCTACCCTTGGACTTTAGTTGCTTAGCCATATTACCTCATAGGTTGCAGCTGGCGGGATGAGGAGTTGATTATGCCAAATGCAACTGTTCTTCTGTTAGCGTGTAGCTACTGCTCCATCAGACCTTGGGAGAGAGCAAACCATAAAGGTATTGAGGGCATAAATCAGAGTGTAAAAGATAAATAGTTCAAACTTCAGTTCTTGGCGGGGTCTCCTTGGTGTATTCAAAATTGCAGGTTTCTGTGTGTTATGCTGATCCGAGTTAAAAGAATATGAGGTCATACGTTGTAGTTTTCCAAGTCCATAATTACAAGCACGATACTGCAGTGCCTTGGTACTCATCCCTTGGTTATTAGGCTTCATTCAGGTTTGTTTTCTATCTGTGTCATAACGGGAATGCTAGCTATCCGTCTTAGGTGTCAATTGACCATTAAATCACAGCTGGTTGGAAAGTTTTCACTGGGTCCCCTTGCTGGAAAATAGAAAAGGGACGTGAAGTCGCGTTTGTGCTAACAGGGTGAGAGTGGAACCCTTCGTTTTGTTTACTTGTCTGCTTTGAGGTTGTTGAACTCCCACTGATGTGAGTTTTTTACGAGAAAGTCAAAACCAGGCTACACACAAATACTGTATCGGTTTATGGGTTTCTAGAAGCAGAAGGCAACAAATTAGCATGAATTCACAAGCATTCATCACGAGGGATTCCTCTGATTTCTTTTGTATGACCATCCCTGCTGCCTGTATTAAAGAGCCTTCTTCTCTGTTTTAGGGCTGTTGAAAAAACTGACTACTCTCAAAGTAGATGACAATCAACTTACAATCCTGCCCAATACCATCGGAAAGTAAGTGCCAGTGTCTCCTTTATGTCAGCCTCTTAAATCTGGAAATGAAAACATACTGTTCTGGGACCAGGGATTTAGCTCAGTGGTGGCCACCGCCTGCCTCACAAGCAGAAGGACCCGAGTTCGATCTCCGGTACCAAAAAAAAAAACAAAAAAAAGACGAAGAATATTGCTCTCTACTTCAGAACACTTTCTACTATACTTTCTACTGTTTGTTCACAGGTCAGCTTATTTTAGACTATATTTTATTCAGTTATATGCATTTGTCTATATCTTAATTTTATATCTGACTGTTAAATTGGCCTCCAGCTATATAAAATTATGAGAAATATCCAACCATAAATCTTTCAGTAGTAAAACAACTTTACAGACCTCCAGATTTATTCTTGCTGGTATTTTCTATCTAGTACTGATATTTTGACTGCATGGTAATTCTAAATTCACCCAAATATATCTTAAAAAAAATCAAATCAGTTTTTCTGAGGCTCTTCAGTATGTATATTTTACCATTATATGAATAATATTTGATATATAAATATATATATATAAGCTTAATGTATTTTTAGAATCTAAAAGAGAAAAGCATTTTCTTAGCCAATATTCTCAAGGTAAAAGACTAACATTTCTTTTTATGGGTGACCGTGCTCCATTCATTGATAGCAGTTTATTTTTAGCTCAATATTGCTATTGACATTTGGTTCGCAATTCTTTTATGTACTTTTTCTCAATGTTTCATTGCAATGCGTTTTGGCTTACAATTCGTGTGAAGTGACAGATCACACAAGCTGGCTTCCTCCTGAAATGATGTGAATCCATTTTATCAGGATCTTGGCCCTCTTCTCAGTGTGAAGAATTATCTGAAGATTTATCAGACTTGGGTATGCTTGGGAAGACAAAGCCTTGTTTTTTTTATAAAGCAGCTTTATTGGGTATAATTGACGGGGGGAAAAAAGCTGCACATAGTTAAAGTCTTAGATTTGACATTTTTTGGCATAGTATGAGGAGTTGGGACAACCGCGGCTGAAATCCAGATGTGAACGTGTCCCTCACGGCCCTTCTCCTGTGTCCTTTGCCAGGTCAGCAAATGGCTCCGTATCTGGAAAGCTTCACTTCTAAAGAGCGGGACAATTTTGCAAAATTCAAATTCACATATTCACATTCTTGAAAGTAAATTAAGTGTCGATCACTTTCCTATTGCAGTGTCCTCGCCGTACATCGTTATTTTGCCTATGCTTTTTTCCATGTTTTTCCAGTGTAGCTGCAGAGAATGCTACTCTTCAGATACACAGAAGTGACTGTTCAGGACAGTGTGCTGCTTGTTCAGATGGTCTTCCCAGTTGTATTCATACTCACTCACCTTTCGTGTTTGGGTTGGTTCTTGTGGGCAGCTGAATTCAGCTTCGTTTATGTCCACATAGATGATGACTGGCATGTTGCAATCTACGTTCACATTTCTCATTTAAACTAATTACGTTAGCTCCTGAAGGTGAAAGGAAGAGGGCGGATAACCTAAAAGTAGGCCACAATGCTTTGTAGGCAGTGGAACCCTGACTCCGGTCATCCTGAGAATGCACTTCTGTCCAGGGACTGTGATTTCTGGCCAGGTTGTCGGTCTCTTAATGACCTCCCCAGTGCAAACCCAGCTTTTTCTGGTGTCAGAACTGACACTGGAGACAGCTGTGCCCGGAGCTTCTGTCACACATCAGCTTGAGTCCCTGCCTCGCCCTTCGCCAGCTGCACCTCATGCCAGAACTCATTTCTGGAACAGGAAGATGACAGAGACTTTTGTCTCCTTCCCCACGGCCAGGTGGAGCGTGGTAGCCAGGCTGTGCACCACATTCTCAACTCGAGTTAGGCTCAATTCTTATTTTACCACCAGTATCTAGCTGTGTCCCTTGCGGTCTTCCTCGTAATTGAATTATAAATGTGGAGAAAGATGAACGTACCCCATAGTGACTTGACCTAAGCTTTTATGCTCCTGTGTTCAAAAGGAAGAGATGTGGAAACATCAGTCGGCTGTCAGCAGCTTTCCGTCGCTCAGAACAAAAGGCTTGTCCTAGAAAAGCGGGGTAAGTAACTGGAAATGAGAGCACCTGTGAACACTGAGAAGCCTGAATAGTGAGCCTTCGTTTTGAAAGCTACTCATTCTTATGAAATTCTCAGATAACAAAAAGCCAGAAGAAATACTTACATGCAATGAAAGAAGCAATATTTACAAGAGCTGGGCAGGGGAGGCCCTTCCTTGGCAAGCGCAACAGAGCTTGTGGAGATGCATGGAGGAATGGGAGAAATCAGAGCTCCGCTGGACTGAAATCGTTGTTAACCAGCATCCTGTTGGAACTGTCCAGAAGAAAGCTGAGCAAGCTGTTAGTTCTACGGAGACGGAAGGATCCAGAGAAAGGCAACGAGGTCAAATAATTCCAGTGTTTCCTGGTGCTTGGAATGACAATCCCAGGCATCACCTGTCGTGGGATTGACCAGAGAGTGTAATTTATTGTGAAACATAGAAACACCCCGGGGTGACGTGGCCGTAATCACAGGGGCCACTCCTTGGGCTCACTGGTCTCCCCCTGCCCTAGGCTTGGGCCGCGCTGGCTCTCCTGCAGAATCTTCACCCTGCCACACCTTCTCCTGCTTCTAGGTTTTCTCCCTTCTTGTTATCTCAACCCGAAATAGTCTTTCCGACTTTGTGTAAGGCTGACTGCCTCACATCCTCTATGTTCATACTCTAGAACTTCAGCATGCATTTAAATTACTAGGGAAGCCTTTATGAAAGGCAGATTCTGAGCCCCTAGGGGATCCAAGCTCTACATTTGTCACAAACATCCAGGTGTTGCCAGTGCTTCGGGTGCAAGGGCAACACTTTGGGTAACGAGGTTCTGTTATGGCTTTAACTATCACCCCCACGGTGCAGCTCTCCCATGAAGCCCTCCGCCAGTGTGTCTGCCCACAGATTCTCTCTGTGTCTGTCTCTTTTGCTTCCCTCATGGCACTTTTCAGAATCTGTGGTTGCTTATTTTATAGTTCCTCATATTGTTTTATTCTGTCCTGTAAATGCAGACACCACGCCTCCATTAAGATAGTTTTCCTGTCTCAGCTCCAGAATTGTAGAAAATTTCTAAAAATGAATCCTTGACCCTATTTTAACTTTTGGTTTCAATTCCTAGATTGTTTTGTTCTAATCAGAATTCTTTGGTAAGAAGATGAGGATATCAAACACTAATGATGTTTACACTGATATGTCTTTTTATTTAGAACTCTTGTGCTTCTATACTTCACTAAATGCTTTTATTCAGAATGAAAATAAAAAAGGAAAAATAGGGTAATTATGCAAGTGAGTATGGATGCCGGGTTATTCATATACTTGGCTTTCTTTTCATAAAGATTGATTATTCTCTTAAAAGTAGAAAGAAGGTTTATCAAAGATAGATGAATGGGATTCCTTAACTCAAAGGTTGATTACTGTTTTAGAAAGATAAGGTTAAGAATCATAAAAGTTCACTTTGTAAAGATTTTTAATGTCATGATCTTTTGATTATTGTTTCGGGGGAAAATTTAAGGGGTATATCAGAAGAATGTGCTAATAGAATTTTTTTAAAGTGCTGGATATATCAACAACAAAATGTTAGTCTTCTCACTAAATGTTCATGCTTAGGAAAATATAGTTACTTTGCTTTAAAAATACGTTACTTATATTAACATGTCATGGGCTTAAAGGAACAATTATTAAGTATTTTTAAATACTTAATATTTAAAGTGTTTAAAATCTTTAAATGTTTAAATCCTGTTTTAATTTATAATGTGGTAGACACCAATAGACATAACCTACATAAACTGAAGTTATTAGGGTCCATTACAGATTGTGGGAGTGTGAAGGGACCCTCGGACTGTTAAGACTGAGGGTTATTTCTATACGTGTCAGAGTTTGGAAATTGTCGAATTTAGTGAAATTATAATGACTCTTGCCAAACTTACATTCTTACTCCAAGGTAGTCATCTCTATATAATGCTTTGAATGTACACATATTATACCCAAAGACACTACATTTCTAGAGGTTCCTTATGTACTTTAAAAACAATTTATGCTGGCAAAAAACAAGCAATGATAACAAAATGACTTTTTCATATTAGAGAGTGCAGAATTTCTAGGTTAGAGCTACAATGGGATTTCATTATGATCTGGTTAACTGGCATATGCAGAAAGTGTTTTGTTCTTGGTCAGATAATCTATGCTTTATCATGACGTATTCTACCTAAAATTCTAAACTTTGAAATCCTAGAAATGTTAAGACCAGCTGCAGTGACCAGGACTCTTATTCTGCACATGGAATATCAAAATATTTAGCTTTATATTTGGTATTTTATAATCGTACAACTATTAAAAACTACTAGAAGAGTTTATTTTTCAATATCTTCACGTTTAAATAGATTCCATGATCTGTGTGCCAAATGACTTGCCAAATGTTGAGCCTTAAAATATGCCTAGAGGTTTCATCAGAACCAAGAATTGAAACTCAAATGAAAATAATAATAAAGAATTTTTTTGTACCACAATGCTGTGGACATCAAGTGTGGTGAGTTGTAGGCATTATCTCTAGTTCAAGGCCCCATTAACACTGTTTGATATGTATTCTCCCCCATCAACAGATACAGCCTCTAAGGCTGAAGGAAGCTAACCCTACTTCACGGCCAAGCTGTTAAATCCACTGTATCTCATAGATCAGTATATGTGAGCGCTGAGTCACGCACTTTTGTGCTTGACTCTTCGTACCTGGTAATTTCATGGGCCCCGTTGCTCTAGCCAGAAAGGATTTTTCACAAGAGAAACCTCATGCTGAGCTTACTCTTTCTTGGCTTCATGGTTTTTGGTGAAAGCGATAAAAGCTCTGAATTTTGAAGAGGCGTTTTAGAGTTACTCTTTCATAAAGTTGGCCAAGTAGAGAGGCTGCAGGAGTAGGCATCGGGAAATACGAGGACTGGGTAAAGTGAGGCCAGTCCTT